GGAAGGAAGGAAGGAAGGAAGGAAGGCAGGAAGGAAGGCAGGCAGGCAGGCAGGGAAATTTGGCAAACCACACATAACATTTGTTAAATGAACCCATCTTCAAAATTATGAAACCCTATATGCCTGTGTTTCTCAATCTTGGCAACTTTAAGCTGTATGGACTTCAACTCTCAGAATTCCCCAGCCAGCATGGTTAAATTTTAATTCTCAAGGTTGAGAAACACTGCCATATACATATTTGTGGTGCAAATTCTGCAGTGCTTCTTTGCACTGCAGTTCTGCCTCTTTGGAGGATGTCTGCTCTCCCCTTGCCCTCATCTAGGTCAAGAAAAGTCTGATATATAAAGCCAACCTTTTGAGGGTCTGGGATTAAACTGCTGCCCTCCTGAGTAAAAGCAAAGCCATAGATTTCTTCCTGCATAGCTGCTTATGAACAGCTGAAGAAGGCCCATTCAAATGAAACACCTCCGGTGAGAATTCAGCAATGCTGTACATGACATGCTAATTTTTCACAGTGCTGTGCAATTTTGTACATCTACTTTTTATCAGATATTTCTGCTTCAAGGGATTGTAACTTATATTGAATTGTGTTAACAATGCATTTGCAATTGTTGAGACTAGAACACAATATATTGCACCTGACACCTGGTATGAAGGCTGATATATGCACAGAATCTACCAGCACTATTTCAAAACAGAGACAACTTTGCCATAAGCCTTGATTAAACTTGGACCAAAAGATCTTTTGAGCAAGGCTTAATACTACATGAGCCATTTTAACCACACCAAGTTACAGTGAGCCAGTGAATTTTTCAACTGAGTTCCTATTTATCTCCTTTACACTATTTTAACCATGGTTTGCTGAATAATTTAAAATTGGCTAGGATCACACAATATGCTAAGCATTATACATATGGCTATATTTGCCATATGGACTAAGCAGAGCCCAAATAAATGACACTGTGTAGACTCAGTTGGTGTCTACATGTGCGTACAATTTCTCTGCACATGTAGACACCTGTCTCTAAATGAAGACAAGGTATAAAGACCTTGTGCTTCATGAATATTGCAATATTTGTATTTAATTAATTATTGGAAACAGGAACAAGTGTATGAACTTAGAAAAAAGTATATTAGAAAGTAGTTAGCTACATTCTAATCAGCAGTCTAGTATCAAATGCAAAATATTTATAGCAGTTCCCCCCAAATGGTTAATATTGACCCCCAAGGATTGATGGGACTATCCAAGGGGTCGATCTCATTAGATTAGTAGTAGTACTATTAGTTAAAGAAGTATTTATTAAATTATTTTCATATAATAAACGTTTGGGGGTCGATGAACCATCTAAAACTTCATGAAGGGGTTGATGAGCTGAAGAGTTTGAGGACCCCTAATTTATAGGCTGCCAACTCCATACAGACTAGTCGTAGCTTAGGACAAAAATTAAGAAGTCTGTGTAATGTGCATGTATTAACTTATCCCTGAAAAGATCTAAAACATCAGCAGAGAGCCAGTTTGGTGTAGTGGTTAAGGTGCTGGCATAGAAACCAGGAGACTGAGTTCTAGGCCTCCCTTAGGTATGAATGCCGGCTGGATGACTTTAGGCCAGTCACTCTCTTTCAGCCCAACCCACCTCATAGGGTTATTGTTGTAGGGAAAATAGGAGAAGGAAGGAATATTAGGTACATTCTCCATTGAGAGAGAGACAGGCAGGATAAAAATTGAGTAACAGTCATAATATCACAGCATGGGTAGTAATAAACAAACATCACTCAATAACATCTTAATACAAATAAATCATAATTCACATCACTATACACATCTCACAACTACAACACGGCAAAACTTCAAGTCTTAAATGTTAACTATTATCAGCCAGACAACACTTAGCTGGCAAAGGCATAATTTAGCTGGCAAAGGCCATCACATTACAGACATGGATGATACCTAATTATAGAGAGTAAAATTACCTTGATGGAGATACATAGGAACCATTGCCTAGGCAAAAGGGGCTGATGCAATTTTTAAGTCCAGACTATGAGATAACATTCAGAAACAGCTCAGGCAGTCCCTTCCTTGATTCACGGTACTATGAGGAGGAGGAGGAGGAGGAGGAGGAGGAGGTGGTTCAGCACAATCAGACTTGCAAGATTCTGTCATTATAGCCAATCTCAATAAAAGGAGTTTTAGCCTTCCTGTGGAGTTGATTTCCTGGTCTGGTCTACCTAGTGGGTCTCATAAATAGCAATGTCAGCCCTTCAAAACAGGCTAGATTAAGAAACAGACCCAGCAGGGAATCCAGGAATGCCACTGTATTGTAGAATATAATCTTGAAGGCCTGTCCACGTTTCTGCCTATCTTACATAAATCAAAATCAAGGCAGGGTTGAGTTTCTTTCTCACACTTCCCTTAATCTCTGGATGATATAATATCTTGTCCAAGTCCCTCCTTCAGGCTCTTTCATACCTTCTCCAAGGCCATCTCTCAGTTACTTTACAGGGGGGCAGTTCTGTAATATCAGAGCCATAACAAAGAAGCACCAGCTTTGGGACTTAATTTACAGAAATGTGGGATCTGGAAGAGCTTCTCTTGTGATGAACATACCAGACCCCACAGTCCTGATTCTAATGTCATCCATATGAAAATGCAGAACAATTGTGGTTGCAGAGCTTTAAGAGATGGTGTATCTAATTCAAGGCCATATATACCTAAAATGTTAAGTGTAAATGATTCAAGTGAACGAACAGATTAATTCTGCAGGGTCACCAATCAAGGCAGATCAGTAGAGAAAAAGTAAAGTTTATTTTTTTCTCTTAGCCATGCAGCAGGTAACATCATTAGAAAGTATTTTAATATTTTTTATTGTTAATTTCAAGAAATACTGTAAATTAGAGTGTTAACAATAATGAAATGATTAAAAAAAATGAGCAGTTAAAAGTGCAGGTGCTGAACATAGTTAAGTATCTAAACTCCACCAAGAGGCCGCAGCCTGAACTGCAAATCATATCGTGCACGGTGCTGTACTTCTACTTCTCAAGTGTAACTATCTCTTTATCCTATATTGTCCTATTAAAAAGCATTTAGGACAAAGTAGATGGTGTTACTTCATTTTTATCCCCCAGCTCGGTGAAGCACTTACATAGTTGTGCACATAATCTTCAGGGATTAGATGAAGCCCCCTTGCTTTTGTACTCTAATACAAGTTCTGTCCACTTTGTCTTATCCTCTCTAGCTGAAAGCCACTGCTTGATATTATTCAAGGTGGGGGGGAAAAAAAGACAGAGAGAAGAAGTGAACATTCTCTTTTTGCAATTTGTAAACAAAGTACATCAGAAACTAGTAATTCAGATTTTAGTATACATTTTGGGCCATAATCAAGAAATAGATTTATCTCACCTAATATTAATCAGGTCTTCATCACAATTTCCATTCTATATTCCTCATGTATTTTATCAGTTAAGAAGGGCATATCTGGGTATACATCATAGTTTTCCTGATTAAAACATATGGGAAAAGAGTGGAGTTTTACATCAGCTACCTTTTAAGAATGCTTCAAACTGGAAAGGTATCTGCATATAGACATAGGGGATTGTTTTTAATATAGTAAAACTGAATTTTATTTGCATAAAATGTGGAAAAAATGCCTGATAGTACAATCCTATATATCTGTTTGGCTTAGCAGCCCAAGCAAATGATCTTTATTGGCATTCTGATTTAGAGAAAAAAAAAATGTTAAAGTACCGAACATTGGAGACTGCGGCACAAAGTGATCACTATATTTTTAAATTTTAATTAAATACCATCATATCACAGTTGAATATGGCAAAAATGGATTCTTGCAATTATATACTTCAATATGACTTAACCAAATTATTTCAGCTAAGACATGGATCATAAACAGCATCAATTATATTTGGAAAAAAAAAACAATTTTACCTATCAAAGTTTGCTTTTTATTATATTGTACCGCATTATTAATTTTTTCTCAGCTGAAAAATTCAAATTATCAAGATCAAATTCAACTTCAAATGTTGCTTTCTCTCCATAAACTGCAATAGCAACGAAGACTGCAAAATATGCAGTGAGTCCCCATATTGTAAATGACATCTGATGCTCTGGGTCATTGTATTCAAAGAAATGAATCAAAAGTACAGACTTTCCCATGTTTTGTAAAGGCACAACACTGTATTTTGCAGGACGTATAAAATATTCCAATGGTACTGAGAATACATGACTGACTTCTTCTGGATTTGGATGGGCTTGGAAAGTATCTTCTATAAAGGCTACAACTGGAGTTACGACAGAATTAGTCTAAAAAGAAGAAAAGTATTAGGTTCCTTAAAGTAACTAACAAAACACTCTTCTGATTCTCTTCCTTATTATATTAAGCATATTACTAAGTATATCTAGGGGGCTCCAGTATCAAACTAAACATGAACAAGAAACGATGAACTACATGGTCTTCAGTTTTAAAACTGTAATGGAATCACAGTGTTTTTGAAGACAACTGGAGATGAGCCCTGTATTACTCAAATGTATATAAGTAATATTAAGGACGGGCAAAATTCATCACTCTGGTTTGAGGTGTGAAATGAGCTTCCATTTTGGAAGATTTATTTCTGAAAACTACGGTACCCCATCCTTGGAATGGCATTGTATGGAGGTACATGGAGCATTCCAGAGTTCCCAGGCCAATTAATTTTGCACGTCCCTATTTCTTACGCTGTTCTTTCTCTCTGAGAAGCCCAGAATGGTTTACAAGAAGGAAGGTATCACAATGAAAGCAATGTTCTTTACAAAAAGTAAGTACAAAACTTAAAACAGAGTTCATTATTTAAAAAGCACCTTATGTAACAGATTATCTAAAAAAGATAATGGTTGAACACGTGAGATTCCAACTCTCACCTTAAAGAAGACAGACTGGGGGAGGGGGCACTTATGCTTCCCTCAGGAGCAGCTCCACAGCTTGGATGCTGCCATTGAGAAGGCCCTCATCCTGACCACTGCACTGGTGTTCAACACAAGCAAGCTTTCCCAGCAATTTTTAATGCAGAACTTTTATGGAATTGGTGGCGGCCATAGTTTAAGTAGTTGCGTCCTAAGTCACTGACGGACTTACAGACTAAGGTCAATGCTATCAATACTATGAATTAAGTATACAGTCATCTTAATGAGTAGCTGCTCATAGCCTTATCCTCCATGGATTTGTTGTGTCCCTCTTTAGACCCATTCAAAACAACTTACAGCTTCTTTGAAATATTTCAGACAAACTGTACCTACTTTATCTAGCGTAGGGACGAGCCTACAGATGACTTCAGTCTGTTCAGGAAGGAGACCCACTTCTTCCTCAGCTTCTCGAAGAGCTGTGGCAACCTCATCTCTGTCTGTTGGATCACTTTTACCTCCTGGAAAACAAACTTCTCCTGGAGATCTTCTCAACTAGAATCAGAATAACATTATTATTATTATTATTATTATTAAAGCTTCTTCATCCAATTTTAAACCCATGATCATATTCTTCCAGTCTAGCTTCTCTCAGTTTATGTTTTGCTTATAAGTTGATTAATAATAATGGCTTTTAGGATCGATCATAAAGGGCAAAGGATCTCACGGCCAAGAAATATTTTAATTTAATTTAATTAAATATGTTGCAGACTAGGACTTGGTAGGGCTGCAATGAAAGTTTTGGAAAAGATATTCAGGTGCTATGATGTGTCTAAAACAACAAAGATTAGCAGAATTCTTCAGGCAATGCTTTGTCCTATGACATTCTATGGATGTGAAAGTTGGACTTGGAAAAAGCAGGATAGAAAAGAGTACTGACACGTTTGAACTTTGCTACTGGAAAAGACACCTGGACAGCCAGGGAAACAAACAGATTGTACAAAAAAAATCAAGTTGGAGTCACATGACACAGTAATTACTGGGCTCCAAACTATCATATCATGCCAAGATTGAGTTGCCTTAAAAAGTTTGTAATGCCAGGAAAAGTTGAAGGAAAAAGATAAGCATAGAGAGCAGATGGATTCAATATCAGCAATGCACCAATGAATGCAAGGCCAAACTGAAGACAGATGATTCTGGGGAGAATATATCCATACAGTCACTAAGACTCAATACTGACTTCTTGCCTTAATTCATTACATCAAATCCTAGGAGACAGTGGCACCCTTGTATGAAAACAATTTCCTACAACCACTGAAATAATGTGAAATTTCCTCACTCTTTCCTATCCCTCTGTAGTAAGCTAGCTGAGTAGTCATAAGGATATATCCATGAAACTTTTGTAACAAGTACATTAATATCTGTGAAAGATGAATTGTTGCAAGAAAGGAAAAACTGTGAGGGGTTTAATAGCACTCATTCCCATTTTCAATATAACCTTGAGTCTCAAATTATACCCCCAGAGGAAGGACAAAGAACCAAAGATTAGGTCAGCTGTCCTTTGCAGTCTCTTGGTCTTCTTCTTTATTACCATTGCTATTCAAAATTAATGCCATCAACATAGGAACTCAGTAAGCACAGACACGAACAAGACAGACTTTCATAATGTTTTCTAATTCAGTCCTAATGGCGTTACTGTGAAATAACAACTGGGTGTGGAGCTTAATATTATATAATATTATGATATGATAAACATGCACAATACATGCATGTCCCAAACAAAACTAAGATGATTAACTAAATTAAAAAAGGATGGGCAAAATAGATGAGAAGAAGAACTTGATCAAGTAACTTTTAAAGCACTTACATCTTGAAAAATGAGAGCTGTACTAAAATTATTTTTAATAAAATACATTATTCAAAGAGCATGGAAAAAATCCTATTTTCTACATCTAGGTAACTCAGTGGAAATATTACTGAAAATCAAATATATGGATACATTAGAAAGAATAATCTGAATGTATTACTATTTAACTGCATTATTTATTCTCCTTGACAAACGTGTATGTCTGGGTGTGTGTGTCTGTTTGCATTCTAGTCGGTCTTGACTCCTGTTCACTACATCCTTAACCACTTAGACCAAATTTAGCTCTGATTCAGGTTACGTACAAAGCATTTCAAATTTAACAAAACAGACCAGAATTATTATAGAAGAGGAAAGATGGAGACATTTTTTTCCCCTTCTTCTCCAGCTTCAGAAAATTAAGCTACTCTTCCACTTCAGAAACTCCAGCTCATGGAGAATTAAAAAAGCAACCTGCTTTAACAAACAGATTCAACATCTTTACATGGGTTACTGCTACTGCTGAAGCCTCTTGCTATTTTGGTTACTGGTGAGATGCAAAAGACCCAGGGGAAACAAACATGCAAACATTCCCCTGTCCTCAGATATTCCAACTTTCAAATTTATTGTATCAAGTTTTAATTAACAGCTGTAAGAAAAGAAAGGCAGTGCTGTATTGGATGGACTGATTGTTGGCAAGGTGAAACAGGGGAGACGTTGATATAAAAGGAAAAGTGAAAACTGCTGGCAGAACAGATGTAGGTTTAAGTAGAAGGAACTTTAAACACAGATTGTAACCCTCCCTCAAAAGGAGACATTATCAGTGTTAGCTTTACTTACCCGGACTGAATATATTACTATATTACTATACATATTACTATATTCTGTTCTCTCCTTTTATTTTAGTTTATTTCACATGTTTCTACTGATCATTAAAAAAAAACTTACTAAATTAACAATGAAATTAGTTTTGGCTTTCATATTTACCTACCTTCATTGATCTAAGAGTGAAAAGGACACATAACTTTTCATTTTTGACTATCAGTGGGATAAGAACCGAGGCTTTTGCTAATGGCAGGCAGGAAAATCTGTCTCCAATGTCAAATTTCCTTAACCGCAGCTTTGCCTTTTCTTTTATGCTCATTCTAGAATAAGTAAAAATAGCAAAACTTTTATTAAAAACAAAACAAGCAGACATTTCATTCTAGGATAATAAGTTTACAAAAAGAAACATGAAAGTTGATATTGTCAAATTAGTTGTCATTACTGCAAACACAGAGACATACAGTGGTGCTTAAAAGTTTGTGAACCCTTTTGAATTTTCAATATTTCTGCATAAA